GAGGTTATGTTTGCGGGCAGAAGTACACATGTAGTTTATTAGCTTTGAAATTTCAGCTGTTACTCTAAATTTTGGTGTAGAGTTCATGAATTTCAATATGTAAAAAGTTGTCAAAGTCGTTTCCTAAACATATGTTGCCTTAAACTTAAATTGTCAAGTTATTATCGAGGCTTCTTTTCACTAGTGAATATTTAATCCGTGCAAACTGCTGGCGGTTTGCATCTGATTTAGTTTTTAATTTGATAAAGGGAGATAACTACTTATACTACAGAAAACGTTTTCGTTCATGTCAAGTGTTTACTTCGTCGGAATTAGACAATTACTCTAAGTATTCGTCATATTTAAAGCAATAACCATTGCCTTTCATGTCTAAGTTTCTTCAATTAAGATTCATTTACCAAAACGTTCATGAAAAATAAAAAAAATAATACTGGATGCGCAATAAGGAAGAGTTGTTACCTACTTTTCTGTACTATTTACAAAAAAGGATGATAAATGGAGAAAACTGTATAGTGAGAAAATCGCATTTCATAGAAGTAATCTATTCATTCCCTAAAGGCTGCATAAACGCTTTTAAATTCGAGTTGAAATTGTGATTTGTACTCTAAATCTTAGATATCAAGCTTGTCGCCGTTAAAAATTAGTGTCAAATGGGAAGTTGTGTGTAAAGCGTTTGAACAAAAACAAAACAAACGTCCGTGAAGCATGTGTTTCGTGTGCGTCAACAAAAACACCCACTTTGTGTAACGAAGATTTTACGCATCGGTCCCGTCTTTGTGGATGTAACAAGTGTGTCACACAATGTACGTCACTAACACCCGAGTTCATGTCACATACGTTGGTTGACTTATTGTTTTGCCCTTTCCAGGGTGGCTTCCTATCGCCCTTTAGGGCGTGACGTTCAGTCTTGTCACGCAACAACATCAAGATGCCTTTGAGTAAGCATCACAAAATGTACACTTGTTATCAGAACTTGTAGCGAACAGCATGTCAATCATTTATTAATTTCCACCCTATGTTAATGTTCATTTATTTTTCTTTTCGCATTTGCCGTTGTAAGACAGAGTTTTCGAAGCAAACGTTTCGCCAGTTCTCACAGGTCATGTACAGTATAGCTAGGTTATTGTGCGGTCGGGTTTTCTATCAATCGCGTGAAAATATCTATTTACTCACTTGTGATAACAACTGGGTAGTCTTAGCTTTTTCCTTATCTCCTATGTTTAATTGAGCCGGTAGTTTTTAGTATCAGCGGTGCCGTTCATGTCGTGCGACCATGTCATGACAGTCTTTTTTTCTTGTTAGTGACTTCCCTTTTCTCGAGCTATATATGTTTGAGATAGTAGCGTGAATCTTCACATTTAGCTTCAGACTTAAGGTAATATCGACAGCAGTGACAAGAAAAGGAAACGGTATATGGAGTAGAAGAGAAGGGTTATTTTTAGCATTGAGGTGTTTTACTGTTTATCCAGTTTCAAGTGCAAGTTACGTTTGTAAATCTGATTAATTTTTATATGAGTGAGCTCGTTTTATGGACAGCGTGATGTAAAAGATCGTTCTCAACGTAATGAAGACTGAGTCATTCAATCATTCAGAAAACGACATTAACTGTTTGACGTTACCGCAAAATCAGACCTCTCTTTAAATTTTGTTTTTCATTTTTCTTTCAGGTGAAAACAAAGTCGTCGTGGTATTAACGATAGCGAGGCTGTTAGCCTTTTAGTTAAAGTATATATTGAAGAAGCATTGCTTTCTAGTTTTATTGATTAGAAATGTTTTTAATTTTGAACAGTGAACAGGCCCTTTTCTAAAATTGCGACTGAAGCCCAAAAGTTATAATCAGAAAACACATTCTCACCGCAACAATAATGCCCACCATAATAGATTTTACAATTTTCATTTACGTACAATTCCAATTATTGAGAAAGTGTCAATATGGCGTTTTCCGTATTACAATGCGTTCGTATTGTTGGGGATGTGGTTTCTTCTTCAGGTCTATATGTTCTCGGCTTATTAAAGAGTTATCAAATGAAATGTGCAATATTACTGAATTCAGGGTGCTTACTTTTGGACTTAAATTCCAGAACAATAGTATTGATAGTTAGCCGCCAATTTTGAGAAGGTCTGTTCAGGTTTGGACACAGAACTATCCTTTTCTTTCTGACGTTATTCTGTGTAACCTACAAACATGGTTTTGATTGAGCCATATTGGTATTATAAAGATTCACAAGATTTTGTGGTCTTAGTATGTAAATAATAAAGTAACTTAAATTATCTCGATGGTGAGTAATGATGTTTAACACGATTTCTTGAACTTTGTTTAAGAAGCTTGCTTGTGCAGGTACCGCTAGAAATTTAAAGCGGTAAAAGAGAAAAATTTCCTTTTGTGTTTTTCGTTTTGTTATGTTAGTTACTGACAAAAAAACCGACCGAGTAATTCATACTAACCATAACCTAACAAGCGCATCAGTCAATTCAACTTCCTCTTGAGAAGGGTAAAAGGGAGTAAGATTAGTAAGAAAGATTTAACGTGGCTGTTATCGTTTGACATCCTTCATTAATAAAGACTATTCTTGCCGCAATTCTGCGAGCTTATGGACTATCTGAGTGATCCCACAAGTCCATTCGCACTAAACTAGTATTCAGTCCTCCTAGTTTCAGGAACCGGAAATTGGATAGAAAATATTTCATTGTTGATTTTAGAGAAATAGATTTTCACCAATTTCGTCAACGGAATCGGTGAACTCAAACATTGTACTTACTTTTGGGGTTTACGCCTTACTATTTCGGTTCGCCCAAATTCTTATCCGTAACTTTGATTCGTTGATAAGTAGGTGGCGTCAACTTATCCGTATTTCTCCATACCAATTTAGACTTATCTCGCCAGACCCTTTGTTGAAGGCATCAATAGGGTAGAATATAACAACTTCATTGGTTTACTCTCTATCAAGATACATGTACCGTTGGAGATTATTCTGTGTATTGTTACGCAACTACGGCAGCAGCCTTACTCTTCACGCAATGATAAACGGGTTTACGTGTTACAACTGTTCTCTTATTAGGGGGAGTGGAGGGGGGGATGGTTTGTCAGGACTTGCATCGACATCTTTGAAAAATTTTCGCATCACGAAGTAGCATAACTAGCCCTGGGTAATTATCGGTTTCCTAATCTCATGGCCTCATTTTTATCCTGTGGCAATTTTTCTGATAAGGATAATGGGTCTCAATAAAGTGAAGAAACCCTTTTTTATGTCTTGTTTGGTTGGTTATGATTACATTTTAATTTATCTTTTTATCTCTTTCTGTTCATTTATTCATTACTACCTTATTTTGATCAGACTCCGCATTAGGGTTTAGTCCTGGCAGAAACCGCATATATGAGCGTTTTTGCGCAACAAGGGCATCTGGAAGCAAGAGCAGTTGGATTTACCGACAATTTTCACTACAAAATGTTTGGTAATTGACGAATGTGGCCACGTAAGAGGATGTTACCTAAGTGATCCTGCTCGTAGACAATTTTGCACGAAACTTTTGTTAAAGGTCTTCTTGACATGTGCGTAAATGTAGGTAATAGCATGATTTCCAATGCAAGTTGGTGTTAATAAGCACAAATAAATTTTTCAAAGACAACAACATTGCAGGGCAAGTGTAATTTGTAGTCAGAAAAATTTACAAGTGCATGTTAACACCAAATTGCACGACAAATCATATTTTTACTATTTAATAATATACATCACAGAAAATTAAAATAGACGACATTTTGACGGCGCGCTTGCTATTGTTACAACTTTGCACTCGTATTGCCACCAAATATGTATTCGTTCTCAGCCAATACGAAGCGCGTGATTTCTTCATGTAGGTTATTATACCACATAAAGACAGTTTTTGGAGACAAATCAGATTCATGTGTCCTCAATATCCTTTAGTTACTGACGTCACTTCTTTTCACAGAAATTGACCTGAAAGCATTTTCACACGCACGCCAGTATTCAAAGAAACAACCTACTAAGTATAACATGACAGTTTATTTTTAAGCAAAATCATGGTGTCCTCTTCACTAATTTAAATATTACATTAGTCTCAAAACAGTTAAGGGGAACTTTCAAAGGATAGGATAAAGGTATCTTCTGTTATCAAGCCGATCGATCCATGTTTTACATTACTATCGATTATCGATTTACATTAACTCATCTCTTGTATTACTTATCTCATAAATCTTTTTCTTGAATATTTTACTCTTCATGCAGTTAAGTCCAAAGGCTTACTTTACAAAGGTGCACGGTCTAAGAGACGTAATGGACTCGAATAAGACTAACGAACTCTGTTTTCATGTCGTTCATCGTTTCTAGAGTCCTTCGAATCAAAATACGACACTTTACTCGGCCTTCTGTCGTTTTATGGCTGCTTAGCAAGCTTATTCTGGCTACTTTTTGCATTTATTATCACTGTTAGTCCTTTTTTTTTTCAATTCACTGTTAGTTCTCAACGGAGGACGGTACTCCTCCATTAGCCCCGTTTGAAGGCAGTTCAGACAACTGAAACTCGGTCCTCTGCTCATAGACGTTTCCATTTCTGGAGTTCTTTTCAACTGCCAGCTCAAACGGCGTTTTAGCTCTCATCGTGCCACTTGGCTCAAATTTTTCGCTGTCGTCCTCCTCATCGTCAACAAAGTGTGGTGGGTGGGATCTCCCATTCTCCTGGGAGCTGGAGCTATGTGCAGTGCCCGGCCGCATTTTCCCATCTTTATCCTTGTAATAAACGTCACCAGTACGGTACGATATTTTGCTGGCACCGCTGTTCCGTCTGTTGTTCTTGTTTGAAAGAGAAGCATCTGCTTCCAGACCATATCTAAAGCAGACAATTAAGATCAAAAGGTAAATATCTGCAAATAAATTTTCGGTTTTGTTCACGTAAAAAACAACGGTCCACTCAGAAAGAGGTATTACAGAGTAAAGTTGGTACATGTACCTTCCAGAGGGTTTGGGTCTCTTCACCACCAAACATACCACAATGATAACCATTATTAGAAGAAGGAATGCTGCAACGATGACAGTCCACCACATAGTCTTAAAAAATCCCGCTGAGAAAAAAAATTAAACAAGAACAAATGTATGTAAATCCACAGATACTCTACTTTGTATGTATTCATTAATTTTGGGATGCTTATTATGGGTAAACAACTGACAGACAACTACAATAGTCTGTCCTGTACGTGTTTTTAAAGCCAATTTTTTACACCATCGCTTTTGTGATACGAGAACGTACCAGGAGTGTTAAGAAGGAACCAGATATTGTTACACGCGATAAAATACTCTCTGATCTTCAGTAATTATCGAAGTATCGATAGGTTTATAACCTTATTATTGCTAAATTGGACCAGGAGATTACAAGCTCTTGATTGAACTCATGTAAGCTAAACCCTAAACCCTTGAATTGACAAAAGAGTTCAACTATTTTACCTTCACACTTTCTACCATCCCCATCGTAGCCATCATTGCATTTACAGTCGAAAGAACCTTCCGTGTTCACACAGCTCGCATGTTGGCCACAATCATCGCGGTGAGCTGTGCACTCGTCAAAATCTTTAACAAGAAGTTAGATTTACATTTAGACATAACCACAACATTAAATTACATGTTTTCAGTTGTATACCAGTTAACAACCCTATGGAGGTATTCTTATGATTTTATCGACATGATTATCCCTCAACTTTTTATCCATATCAAATCAAAAGATCCTCATAACTTAAACAAAAATGCTGACATTTTGAAACTTAAGTTCCTCATACCACAAAAGATACCAAACTTTGCCTTCAAATGGCGCTCGTCAGGTGATTTATGAAGGTTTATTTATCCATTCCTAAAATTTAATTCTTTAAGATATCCAAAATCAATCATCATGTTCACAAACTTTTATTTTTACCTATAATTTCAGGATATTTGACTTTCAATGTGCCGAGATGTGAATTATTGAATCTTGATGCCAGGGCATCTTGTAAATCCTGCAAGGACCCAGAAAACTGTGGACTTGTGAAGATTAGGAAGTCAACGATGACGCTACCGTTCCTAAAAAATGTAGATAGAAAAAAAGCGATTAGAAATGCAGCCTTTAGATGAATAGCAGTGAAAAGAACTAAATAAGAAAAGGTACAACTGATTGAGTCAGCTTATGAATACATGGCCCTCATGTAAAACAGTTGCCTTCTTCACGATTTCATTATCATGAAGCAACTGGGATCGTCGCTGCTTTTATAGGAAAGATGCTTGTCCACTTTATGGGCTATCCCCAGCGGTATTCCCTGCCTAGTTTCCCTGACTGTTCTCTTGAGAAGGGGGAATATAACACAGGAGTTTAGCCTCATATTCGAGAAGACAACACAGTTACTAGGTTCTCACTCAAAGCTACTTTCCATCACGATGCAGGAGTCTAAGAAATGAGAAATTTTAACCCAAATTTTTGCCTATGATTGATACCTGAAGTTGTTGACTCTACAGCCGTAGTAATATTGGTTTACTGTTGATTTCCTAAATTCTTGATTCATCTGAAATAAAGAAAAGCAAATGTTTTCACAAGAGCAGGGCACTGTGAAATACTATTGCTCCTATAACATGAAGTATTTAATCTCCATGATGCCGATTCCATTTCCATTTCTGTCTCTTTCTTGAAGCTTCCCCAACATTCTACAAGGATAAAATCCTTACTTTAAATAAATCAGAGAGGCAACATGAAAGGGTTGCTTTCAATCGTCTAGAAAGACACATGGTCTGGAGACTTACCTTCGCTTCAAATTCTTCCTTGAAATCGAAGTAACCCCCTGATGCTTTGTTCTTGAGGGATAATCCAAATACCTTGTTTGAAATGGTCAGAGTGCCTCTAAAGGTCTTACAAGCTGCAAAATAGAAGGCGTGACCTGTGAGTCAAACCTTGATTGGTGCCAACAGTTGACGAAAGTTCATAAAGAATCCCAATTTATTCATCCTTGTAATCTTTGCATCCACTCCAGGCCTTATTTTGGTTTGATCGACTAAAATACACTTCCATGAGCCCAAGTTGGCAAAAAAGACATTTTGGTGCAGATATGTACATTCAGGCTTCATTTGTTAAAATGAGCCTACATTTTAAAATATGTCAAATACCAAAGTACAGCTTCGGGAAGAAATTGTGAAACTATAAGATGAGGCGTGACATTCAATATAACTGTTACTCACGTTTGCATGTCTCATTGAAACTAGCTTTAAAATGGCCGGGAACTTTGCATTCACACTCAAAACCCCCATGATAGTCCTGACACTGACTGTCCTTGCTACACACTCCAGAGCCGCACTCGTCGATATCTATGTAATAAAAGAAACACTTCTTAGCTAAGTTTAACAAGTACCGAGGAGCAAACGACGCCATTTAAACTTTATCTACTTAAAACACTTTGTTCAACACATCGTTAAAGTAGAGAGGTGGGCAGGCAAAAGACAGCAAATAGGTTCCCTGTTGAAAGGCAAAATCACATTAAAATAAGGAGGAAAATCGAAAATGCTCTCATTCTGGCGAAGACCAATTCTGCACATAAAAAACGTTTTGGCCTTCGCACAGTTACTTAACGAACAGGTTAATTGGACAGCTTGACTTAAGAATTCTCAAAATCAACGACAAATTTACCTTTGCATTCTGTGCTATCTCCTTCCCTGACCAATCCTCTTTTACACGGGGGTAACGTTGGCGGTGTTGGGGTACGCGGGGGTAGATTTTCCCTAAAGACGAAGCTGACCAAAGTGAAGAGGGTTTCATTACCAACTTTCTCTCCCCTGTAATAAATCATATCATCCAGAGTATAATTCTTGAGTATGGCCTGCTGTTCTGCCGTCCAGTTGAAGATGAAGGTAAGATTCTGAATAGGAATATTAATAAGTGAGTCGATGAGATCAAAGACACTGTCGTTCCTCAGGGCTGAAAAATTATTTCCACTGGCGGTGATAAGGTCCATCAAAGAAGATTTCATCAAAGCGGTCTTGGCAGAAATCAAGGGCTGGATAGACTGCTTTAAGACATCATGGAAATCTTTGACAGTCATATTTTCGATAGTTGGAGGTTGGATATCCAGGAGAATTGACAAGCGAGTAGGGGACATCTCTAGCGATAGAGCAGCTTTAGCGTAGGCTCCTTTTACTATTGGAAATACTATCAGTGACCACTGCGATGGAAGAGTTAAGTTGAACTCGTAGGAAGAAACCTTCAATTCATGAGGGAGATTGTGGA